CGGACCGGCCAGGCAGGAGACGCCGGCCGCGTGGGCAGGCAGGACAGCGGCTTTCATGCCTCGGCACAGATGACCAAGACGACGCAGCAGGGGAGGAAATACTTCACGCCGGTGTCAGCTCAGAGCTTAGAATCCAGGCCATGAAGAACGCGCCCAGCCCCACCGCACAGGCAAACGCCCGCTTAAATCGGCAAAGCGTCGCAGGGACCCTCTCCGCAGGGCCCCGTGTGAGCGAGCCCCGCGGGCAGTGAGGCCTCAGCACCGCCCACGTCTGGCCACCACAGCCACCAGCGTGGACAGTGGCCGGCGCTGCCCAGGGCCGGAAGCCCGCCCGCCCCGCCCCCCGCATCAAGGCGTTCGGCTGCTCGGGAAAGGCTGGCAGGGACTCAGGCTTGAAGCGTGACCAGGCGGGTAATCACCTGCCGCTTGGCGCCAAGGCCGCGAGCCGCACCGCGCCCCTGCGAAAGGCCAGGCGAGGCGTCCATGGCGGCCGCGACCCCGGAGCCGGAAGGTGGAGGCACCCGCCCCACACGCCGAGGGACAGGCCTGGGGTGGGGTCGTCCCTGCGGAAGGGGTGAAGGGCCGGTGCCCCCTGCGGCTGAGCCGGAAGGCTGCCCCTTCCGTGACGGGCACGTGAGAGGCAAGTCCGGGCCTCCTGGGCGCAGGGGCGAGGGCAGCACTGTCAAGATGGCCACAGCCCCTGCAGCACGAGCTCGATCCCCACCAGGGAGGGATCCCCAGGCCGTGCAGACCTCCTGTCTCCCCGCTGCCCCCCTCTACAGTGGATTCTGTCCATCTGCCTATTCTGCTCTCCGCTCTGTCTCTGGGGAGCCCTCTCACCCCCACACCTCTGGCCTGCACCCCAGCTCTGTATGCATAAATACGTTAAAAAAACAAACTAGGAGGGGTCTGCTGTGCCCTGTGGTCACCGCCTGGCCGCACTCTGGCGGCAGCGAGTGAAGGAGCCCTGTGCTGAGACGGGCACGGCGGGACGGGACGGGGGACCCGAGCACCCCAGTCCCTCCGCGGACCCCCAGCGGCACTCGGTGGCCACGACCGGAGTGCTGCGTGCTTGGTGGTCTCTTGCCGTCCAGCCCCTGGGCCGGGCTGCTGTGTGACCGCCGTTCAGCAGCGGGTCCGCCTTGACTCAGGCGCTGCCTTGACGAAGGGCCCCCCGTGGCTCCCTCGTGCCGACGGGGACGTCTCGGAGATAGGCTGGGGCGGCACGTCCGGGTTGTCCCGCGGGAGACATCCCCTGTTGGCCTGCCCTGCCCCGTGGGCCTTTGGCTCTGGCCGGGCGCCTCGCAGCGGTGCCCCGTGCTCTCCTCACACCCCCGCACCCCTTCTTCTCTGCTTTCCTGAGCCGCGGCCGCAGGCCCGCCCCAGCAGACGCGCACCATGGGCCTCCCGGCACCGCGGGGGTCAGGCGCATGAGGGCAGGACGCGCAGAGCTGCGGGTCGAGCGGAACGGTCTGCTCCAGCAGGGTCGGGGTGGCAGAGGCAGAGGGAAACCGGGGTGCCTTCCGCACCCTGTGCGGAACCTCGGAGTAGACCGGATGGTCCTGCCGGCACGCGCTGGGCTTGGCTTTGAGTCTAAGGATGGCAGGTTCCGTGTCTTGTGCCAAAAGGCTGAAAGCGCAGATGAGGATGGGGCCTTGGTTCTGTGGGACAGCCTGGACACGCGGCTGACCCGAGTCTCTCTCTTCTAGGGTCACTGCTACTACCACGGGCATGTGCAAGGATACGTGGGCTCCGTGGTCAGCCTCAGCGCGTGTTCTGGCCTCAGGTAAGTGACCGTGAGGCCGAAGCACCGGGCCTCAGCCCCCGGGACAGACGGGAGGGGCCTATGGGACGCTGCCCACAGCTCAGCCGCTCGCCGGGCCCCGGCCGCGCCCCTGCACGGGCTGCTGGGCCGAGTGTCCTGGCTCGGGAGTCTGTCCCGCAGAGGCGCTCTGGCGCTCCGCTGTTCCCGGGGCAGCCTGGCGCGACGCTGACGGGTCACCTCACTCTGGCTCAGTCTAGACTGAGCCAAGGGGCCGGCCCGACCCTG